CCACCAATGCCAACGCCAGATGCATCACAATTTACCTCGAACACTTTGTCAAAATCTGGAAGTGCCAAAACTGGAGCCTCGGTCATCTTCTGCTTGACCAGTTGAAAACTGGCCTCTGCCTCCTCAGACCACTGGAAATCACGCCCCTTGAGGTACTCTGTGATAGGGGCGATCAGAGTACTGAAATTTCTAATGAATCGACGGTAAAAAGACGCCAAGCCATGGAAACTTCGGATGTCATGTAAGGTTCTTGGTCTGGGCCACTCCAAGACTGCATCTATCTTTGACTGATCTGCATGAACACCATCAGTAGACACAACAAAACCAAGAAAAGTCACAGAAGTAGTGAAGAAAGAACACTTCTTTTGATTGACAAACAAGCACTCCGTTTTCAGCATCTCAAAAACAGCACGGAGGTGATCGAAGTGTGAAGTCCATGTCGGACTATAAACGAGGATATCATCGAAGTAAACTACAACAAATTTCCCCATAAAAGGCCGTAAGACCTGATGCATAAATCTCATGAATGTACTGGGCGCATTGGATAACCCAAAAGGCATGACCATCCACTCATACAACCCTTGTGGCGTTTTAAACGCCGTCTTCCACTCATCTCCAGGCCTTATTCTGATTTGGTGGTAACCGCTCTTAAGGTCAATTTTTGAGAAGATCTTAGAACCAGATAGCTGATCCAACATATCATCTAGACGGGGAATTGGAAACCGGTACTTCACTGTAATTCTGTTGATCGCTCGGCTGTCAACACACATACGCCAAGAACCATCTTTCTTTGGCACTAACAGAGCAGGGACTGCACATGGGCTCATACTCTCTCGGATATAGCCCCTCTCCAACAACTCTTCCACCTGTCGCTGCAACTCTTCGGCCTCCTTGGGACTGAGGCGATATGCTGGTCGATTTGGCAAACTTGACCCAGGAACAAGGTCAATTTGATGCTGAATATCCCTCATAGGTGGTAGTCCAGGAGGAAGATCCTCTGGCATCAAGTTAGAGAATTCTGCTAGCAGCCGCTGCACCTCTACTGGTAAATCTGTATCCACGTCTACTGCATTGTTCTCGCAAGGTAGCAAGGCATAGACCACGCCGCCATGCTCAATCTCATCTAAAAACCTGGACATAGAAAGCAGATTAGTATTATGGGTTACTGGGGTAGGAGTAAGTCCTTCCCGCCGGGGTGCCAACACAATCTTTTTTCCCTTGATGCTAAGGGAATATGTATTCTTCCGTCCATCATGAATGACACTGCGATCATACTGCCAAGGTCAACCCAACAATATATGACACGCATCCATAGACACAACATCACACCAGGCATTATCAAAATATTTTCTACCAATTGAAAAAGACACGAGGCATCGCCTATCAACTGTTACCTCACTGTCTTTATTTAGCCATGACAACTTGTATGGCTTAGGATGGCGGTCCGTCTTCAACTGCAATTTCTGGACAACCTCCTCGGAAACTACATTCTCACAACTGCCGCTGTCAATGATCATTTTGCAGACTTTATCTGCAACTGTGCAAGTCGTGTGGAAAATATTGGTTCTCAACCAATCGTCCCCTGAATCGCCCTTGGGGGTAAGTAGACTCTTGCGAACGACCAGAGTCTCATGACCATCTCCATACAACACATCATCAGTCTCATTATCGTCATATACGGGTTCGCCAATCTCCTCAGTCTCGTCTTCCACGTTTTCCTCAATCAACAAATTTTTGCCCTTTTGACTAGCAGGCTTCCTGCAATCAGTCGCCCTATGCCCTTGTTCACCACAATGAAAACATCTAATAGTAGGGTTAGAATTACCCTGCGGTGGCTGTTGAGCAGGACGGGACTCTTGAGGGCGAACTGGTCGACTGTTGTGATCGCTCCTGATCACTGGTCTCCTGTTTTGCTGTTTTTCAACAGCAAGTGCACGCTGGTATGCTTCCGAAACACTCCACAATGAATGAAGGCTAAGGACATCTTGCAAGGGCTGGCGTAAACCCCCCAAATATCGCGCCACCATCTGTTCCTCCGTCTCAGATAAATCGTTCCGGGCGACCAATTGGTAAAACTCCTCCGTGTAATCATCGACTGATCGCGCGCCCTGCCTCAACGCATGAAGTCGCTGAAATAAGGTTTGCGTGTAGCCGAAAGGAAGGAAGTGGCCCTTCATCTTCTTTTTCATCTTCTCCCAATCAGTGATCTTGGTTTTGCCCTGTCTTTCTCGTGAACGTCGTAACTGTTCCCACCACGCAGATGCTCTGCCCTTGAGTTTGATGGCGATCAGTTTCACTTTCACACGATCGGGGACTTCCTTATATTCAAAAATACGCTCCACTTCATTAATCCAATCCACGAATCCCTCGGCCTGTAACGTACCAGAAAACTCAGGGAGATCGACCCGAAAACCGAGGTCTCCATGACGCTCCTCCCGACCACGGTGCTCCCGGAATCCTGCGCCCCGGAATCCTGCGCGATTGTGATATGGGTTTTCGAAAGTGGAATTGGTATCGTGATCAGAGGCCTCACGATCCTCGAAATCCTGCGCCGCCAGGCGCTGGGTTAATTCTGCGACTTACCTCTGCAAATCCGCAATCATCACATCCTGAACGCTGCGATCACGGCGTTGGGCTTCCTCATTCGGAACCTGCTCACGACGACCACGACCACGACCTCCAGCCATTGAAACTGGTGAAATTTCCCAAGAAGATGTTGAAGCTCTGACACCAACTGACGCCAGACATAATAGTGATTATCCTGTAGGCTAGCTCCGACAGACGATTCACAAGAGGAAATTCGCCCAAAAACCAGAGAAAGAAAGTCTCTAGGGTTTAATAAAATATTATAAAATCAATAATCTCCAAAAAGCAATCCACAAACCGGACTGTTATAGCAAAAAAAATCATCTTTATTCGAATTTTGCCAAAAATAGCAAAATCCCGAAAATTACTCTAAATTGAAATTCGAAATAAAATAAGCAATCTCCCAAAAATCCGGCCTAAATCGGATTTAAATTGACTTCCTAATTAACAATCGAAATATTACCATAAATAGTAAAAAATAACTAAATCTAGTGATTCGGAGGGGAAAACGGCAGAATTTGAGGTTGAAAAAAAGGCCACATAGAGCATAGCTCAATGTGGAGAGCGTGCGCGTCGAAAAGAGCTTTCCGGATTGGGGTCTTATGCGCGATTCTGACACCTGTAGCCAAAGTTATGGCCAAAAGACTGAAACATACTCAAAACGACCCCAATGAGGAACATGTCACAATCAATTCCCGCCTTTGCGCTGATCTGCCAACTCATGGTATCTCAGCGCCATCAACGTGCAATCTGACAGCTCATCATCATCTGTCTCGGATCCCCCTGCATCATATGTTTGGATATTTAAGTATGTTCATATTTATTAATTAATTATAGGATCGATTAGATATATAATTACCAACTTAAAATTACATGTTGAAACTACTTTTCATAATTTTCTAGAAAATTATCAATTCATTTAAAAAAATGATGGATCCCTCAATTTTGGGAGCCTAGTGGAATAAAAAGGATTGATCGCTCATATTTTAAAACATGAAAAAACTACAACTTAAATAAATAATCTTTATATGCAATGCATGATATGTTTGATGGTTGTGCTTAGTTTTGCTTAATAGTATGTCCAAGCATAAAAGATGACTATATAAATCAAATCATAAGATTTTGTGTTTTGGTATGTTTGGATATTTAAGTATGTTCATATTTATTAATTAATTATAAGATCGATTAGATATATAATTTCCAACTTAAACTTACATGTTGAAACTACTTTTCATAATTTTCTAGAAAATTATCAATTCATTTAAAAAAATGATGGATCCCTCAATTTTGGGAGCCTAGTGGAATAAAAAGGATTGATCGCTCATATTTTAAAACATGAAAAAACTACAACTTAAATAAATAATGGTTGTCCCTTTTTCCCATATGTATGGGATAAGCGGGAGGTAAGATAGAAGGTTACCCCCAACATCAGGTTGAGAGTAGCTTCCGTAAGAAACCTCCGAATTATGAAATGTCCTCCGTGGGACTCAATCCCACAACCTCAAGGTTAAGAACCATGTGCTCTACCAACTGAGCTGAATGGTCATTTCAACTTAAATAAATAATCTTTTATAAAATAACCTCTAAATTTTGAAGATGAAACATAGGGTGGATTTTAACTCGAATGAATATGAGATTCCAACAGTACACCTATAACAACCTTTATTTTATAAATAAACTGGAAACTGAATAATTTTTAAATCAATAAGAAAACATAAGTAGAGTTTTACAAATTAGTTCGTAAAGATGGTGATTTTATAATTCAACGTGTTTTTAAAATACAATTAAGCTAGAAATTTACATGGTGCTTCTATAGATGTAATTGAATTAGTATTTTTTTTTAGCATGATTTGTAGGGCTGAGCAACGAAATCGAGAAAATCGATACGAATCAAGTAAAACGGTTCGATTCAGTTCGGTTTGACATTATACGGTTCGGTTTTTGATTCGGTTTAAAGTTTCCATTCTTTTGATTCGGTTCAATTCGGGTTTTCCATATGGAAACCATTTGTTCCATATTGAACAGAATAGACAATTTTTTATAAAAAAAATTACAGTTTCAAGTGATTTTTTCATTGAAAAACCGATAAACCGAACAAAAAAACCCGAATCGAACCAAAAAAACCGATTTCGGTTTAAATTTTAAAAAACCTTTTATTTCAGTTCGGTTCAATTTTTGGTAAAAAATCGAACCAAACCGAATACACCCTTAATGATTTGGATGTATAAGGTGAAATGACGTAATTACCCAAATATAAGAAAATGGTCGTTTTCTTAGTTGTCCTTAAAGTTTGAAATAAATTTATAGAAGTTCAGCTGTAGCCTACTTGATCGGCGGATTGTATGTATGCTGGTCAACTAAACATGGTGCCCTTAAATTAATAAAATACAGTGCAGTGCCTCAATTAAAAACATCGACATATTCTCCCTCTCCTAAGCAAAACAATGAATGGATTCCTTGTTTCTTGGACAAAAAACCCTGAACCAGAACAATATCTGCAATCCAAGCAGATCAGCTCTTGAGAAAATGAACAGCCAAGAGTTTTGTAACAGTGAAGCCATGGAAGGTTTCAACATCGAAGAGCTCTTTCAGCTTCTTGTCACATATTACTTTCCTCTTGTCAGATGGATCCTTCAAAATGAAACCCAGTGAAATATTATATATCCATATCCAGCTAAAAAATTGCAGATTCGACTCATCGGTGAAAGGATATAACAAAGTTGAATAAAGAACGGTATAATGCTGTTATGAAAGATGATTAAACTCATTATGTAAAAGGCTATTCACGACCGTGGTACATAAATATTGCTATTATTCTGCAAGGTGGATCACCAGATACCTGGAGATTATTTTCTTTTATGTAATCCCACATTCTCTTTATAACAGCAGCCCGTGTAAACTCATTTTCTCCGGTACCAAGAAATTTGAATAGAGCATCTGAAAGTTGAACAGGAGCAAGAAATCCTTTCATTCGTTTTTCCTTTGCTTTTGCTTCATCTGGATCTGAAACGGTCAAAGAAAAGGCACAACAAAAACTGTAAGAACCACTAATTTTGAAAATGCCTACTATCGCAGTAATAGCTATACAGAAAGGTGGTAACTGGTATCATCACATTGCAGGGTTAAGGATTGAACAAAATAAGGGATGATAACCAGTGGAAACCTGATTCAAAATATGTTTAGGACAAAACATATTAAGAAATATAACAAAAAATCATATAGAGCATTATTGAATCTGTATCTTAATAGATGAGGCATAGCCAGAATTGGCGGCAAAATATACATCTAGCAAAAGAACTTAAATAGTGTGTTCTTTCAAGAAACAAAAGTGAAAAGACCATTTTAGAATCACGTGTGGGAATCAAAATCTGAATTGAAGGCAGTGATAATGGACAATGGTAGAAAAGATGTGAACATTAGACGTTCTAACTCCTCTATCAATGCAAAACAAGTTCTGCACAGAAGGCATTAATTTAGTAATACACTGTCCATACCTTCGTCTCTCTCATGCTTTCTGGGCTTTTCCTTCTCCATTGACTTGACTGGAACAATTATAACATGGACATCAATATAGTTAAATTTACACAGCATATTTAATAATAGATAAGCTCAACTTACAAGACCTTTGCATAGTGCTCAAGATACTAAAGTATTCTTCCTTAATTTAATGCTACAGTCATAAGACAAGCTGTGAGCAGAAGTTAGTCATTTACTAACTCCTCATGTCAAATTATCAATGCAAAACAAGTTTCATGAGAAAACCTTAATTTACTAATGCACTATCCATACCTTCTTCTCTTTCATACTTTCGTGGTTTTTCTTTCTCCATTGGCTTGTCTGAAACAAAGGCAGCACATCATATTACATAATACATTGGTTGGAGTTACAAGACATTTGCAGCATATTCTGAGAAAAAGCCTCAAGGAAAAAAAGTATTCTTCCTTTATTTAATAATGCCCTGATTTCCTGAGAAAAAGCGACATTTAAGAATTTATGATAAAGAAGTGCTTTTCTGTTTTCCAACACATTTCCCAGTTACCAGGCAATTCTGTAGAATCGGCGGTTTTTACTTGCACGTTTCAGAAAAGTAGAGAAATTTGAGCCAAAAATCAAACATATGGAATAACATTATCTAAAATATTTTAACAAAAGCAAAATGGTAGAAGGGACAGATCTATTACCATTGTCTGGATCCAAGGGCAAGATGTGCTTTGACAAGGCTTTGTTCATTTGAAACATGTCAATGGAATCAACACCAAAAATTGCATGCAATGGCTCATCACAAATTATATTTTTCTTGTTAACTGGGTCTTGCAAAATTTTCTCTCTAATATAAATCCATGTTTGCTTGACTACCTAGCACCATTATAAAACACAAAATTTAGAACAAAATAGCTTTCTGAATTATGAAACTAATAAGGAAGAAACTGAAAATTTATAGAGATATTTCAAATTTACCTCAGTCCTTGCCAATTCAGGGACTCCCAAAAGTTCCTGAAGCTGTGGGGAAAGTCGGCTTGCTTTGTTAAAACCACCACCTCTTCTCTTACCTTCACTATCGACTCTTTTTGACCTATATTATAAAGTGAAACATCCAGAATTCACAAACTAGCAACTATAAGTTTGATAGCAATTGCAACCACATGATTATGTGTACTACTAAACTTCAGAGCTTCCATGACAATGTAAAACGAAATCTTAGTATAGGAATATTATAGAAAATTAGTGGATTTGAGGGAAACTCTAAGTTGCTGATATAATATCAACAATTAACGCATAACTCACTTTAAAATAGGCTCACTGATCCAAATGAAATAGCAGTTTTTAAGCTTTAGCAAATGACACATCGAGTCATGCCACTCTGGTTGTACCGCAGCAATTGTTGTTAACAGATATTACAAAAGAACAGATTATTGGTTCAGAAGTGAAGCAAGAAGTCTGTAGAACATGTATGGCTTGATGCAACTTAGATAAGAAATCCTTGTAAAGTAACCTGGAAGACATCTTCAAGCAAAAGCTAATCTATCTTGATAGAAATGAGAATATGGAGTCTATTTATTAAAAGTTCAAGATCAACCCATTTCCTTCTCCCAGCCCCCAAAATATCGAAGAATGAGAAGAACATTTAGATTGTCGAGAATCTTCAAGAGTCTAATTATACAGATTAAGTCAATGAGAACAAAATACTGCAACATATAGGTTGAAAATTTATAAAATAACCAGAGCTTAAAAACACACAAGGGGCAGAACAGGACCCATGTTTCCTGTTCTAGAGGCCAAATTTAAACCACAAAGAGAGAACATATGGTAGCTTGCACTTGTTTTAAAGCATTGCAGCCAGCAGAACACAATCTTTACAATTTATGTACATACAGCGTCATATATTGAAAAGGATCATTTACAAACAACGAGCATTTATCTCAACACAGCTTATTAGACAAATGGAAGAAGAGGAGAAACAAATGTTTCCATAAAATCCAATTAATCAGAAGACAAATAAGAACATGTGAATTTGGAAATCAAATTGCCAACTGGGATAATATAAATTAAAATCATTTTCACTGTTAAGCAGTTGACTAAAGTTTTTCAAAGCTCCAAAAGAATGATCAAGTTTTTCCAAATCAACATGGGTGAAAGTTATAAAAAATATTTTCTATAATAAAGTAAAAATACAATCCCACATTAATGAATCCTTAACGTTATTTGAGACATAAAAGAAAAAGGAAAATCACATTATTATTATTATTCATTTTTCTTTTGTTTCCAGAACTATGATTAATCAACCTTGTAGGGATGACCGTCTTCCACGGCAATCTCAGAGAGTGACTCACTGAGTCGGAATTAAATTAGACATCTGTTCAGATTAATACAAATAGGTTCTGTCAAATATATTCATTCAAAACATTTCTTCACTTAAACATGCACTTTTAAAAGGTTAAAAAAATGCACACCACTAAACTAAAGCTAAAGCATAGCCATAAGCATAAGCAAGGTAATCTCACATTTAACTTCTAACAAAGCAATGAGCATCGTCTAAACCTTTTCAAAAATAAATAAAGGGTAAAGTATAGTAATGGTCACTGAACTTTTCTAAAGCTTTCATTTAGGTCCCCCAATTTTTAAAACTTGCAATATAGTCCCCCAACATTTAGTCCGTTTGCAATATGGTCCCCCAACAGTTACGTTGGGGACCATATTGCAAAAGGACTAAATGTTGGGGGACCATATTGCAAACGGACTAAATGTTGGAGGACTGTATTGCATGTTTTAAAAGTTAGGGGACCTAAATGAAAACTTTAGAAAAGTTTAATGACCATGACTATACTTTACCCTAAATTTTATTTAAACGGTTAAAAGATTTTTAAAAATAACTACTTATATGATATTAAATATTGAAGGTATCGAGAATTATATCGTTAGTTATATGTATTCCGGTACATCAAAGATGAAATAAAAATGATTTATTCTTGACAAAGCCCATTGATACATTCCGATACATCAAAGATGAAATAAAAATGATTGATTATTGACAAAGCTCATTGAGCAAGATAATGAGCAACACTAATGGTCTCTCCTTAACATAGAGAACCTTAAGGTTTGGGTTACCAACCAAAATCTAACGATTCTTGATGAACATCAATCCAATCACTGAGATATCTTTGTGCGAGTTGTTTAGGCGGTTAACAATGGATATAGCACCCCCTCGGTAAATACCTTGTCCCAACCATTCTCGGTGGTCATTTGAAGTCATATTGTAAAACTACAAGCCTCGACTGATTTGGATGTGTGTGTCCCTTCCTGCCTTCGTGCAAGACCCTCGATAGCCATGCCATGGTGTGCAACCAACCCGAAAGTAGCAGCGCCGGTATTGGGGTTAAACATCCACGTTAATTTTTATGCTCCCAGGTGAAGGGTTTCTCCGCTTTTTACCATGCATGCATTGCGGGTTAAAATTGAATATCTAAGCATGGGATATACTTCTTTGCCAGGGAGAGTATTTCCCATTTATCCGATTTTAAAAAATCTTGTTCATCTCATATTTATAATACCTATTTGAAACTCCATTTTTTGTATTTTTCTATAAATAGTAAATAAAGTAGGTTATCAATTTTTGTGTTCAGTCAAAAGTGAAAGATAAATCATAAAATAGGATGATTGTTACACGAAAAGTCATATGAAGAACCTGTTTCCTGCTTCACAAACCAAAACTAAGAACACAAATCAAAGAAATGTTTTTTCAGCGTTACAAACAAGAAAATGAAGCACGACATTGATTAAACTAGACGAGAAGAAATACTGAAAACACCATAAGCAGGAACAAGGCCGTGGCTAGGTTTTCAGGGGTCCTGTACAAATTCTTATAAAGGGGGCCTATTTTTTAAATATATTCGATTTCGGGGAAACAATAGTGGCGTTGTTTTGAAAAAACGTCGCAATAGGTCCATCTATAGTGGTGTTTATTGGGAAAACGCCACTATATATATACTTTTTTTGGGTATTTTTTGGGGGCCTGCATAATAATAGTGGCGTTTTTAGAAAAAACGTCACAATAGGTCCATCTATAGTAGCGTTTATTGGAAAAACGCTACTATATATATATACTTTTTTAGGGCCCTATTTTTTGGGGGCCCTGCGCGGTCGCGCAGTTCGCGCCGCCCCAGCCACGCCCCTAAGCAGGAAATTGAAGAAGAAGAAGAAAAGAGTTCAAATTTCAAAAGCCCAAAACTGAAAGGAAATGATAAGAAAAACGCTAACTATGTCACAGCTTATCCAACCACAAAGGTTAATATTAAAAGATGCTATATAAAGAAGTAGGATGCAACTGGTGAGTGTTTGGGGATTGGGTTTAGTGATGGCTGGTTGACCATGATTGAGGATAGTGGTTGGTGGTAGTGTCACGAGTGATGAACCGGTGAAGTTTAAAATTTTAAATAATTATTTTTCCAAATTTTGTAATTTAATTTTTAAAATATATTTTTGTATTTTTTAAAATTAAGGGTAAAGTATAATATTGGTCAATGAATTTTTCTAAAGCTTTCATTTAGGTCCCAACTTTTAAAACTTGCAATACAGTCTCTCAATATTTAGTTCGTTTGCAATATGGTCCCCCAACATTTAGTCCATTTGCAATATGGTCTCCGACGTAACTGTTGGGGAACCATATTGCAAACAAACTAAATGTTGGTGATTGTATTGCAAGTTTTAAAAGTTAAGGACCTAAATGAAAGCTTTAGAAAAGTTTAGTGACCATTACTATACTTTACCCATAAATAAATTAAGAAAATTAATACCGTGTATTTTCTTCAACTACAATAGCATAAAATTGTGTATAAAACAGATTAACTAATTCAGAACTGACCTTTTTTCTGAAGAGGCCCTTTTGTTCTTCGCTCTTTCAGTTTCCTCCTCTCCGTCGTCCGAATCAGAACCGTCGGTTTCCTCTAATTTAATTTTGTCTGTCTGATCATCTCCATCTTGTTCTTCGGCATTTTCGAACTGGCTTTGAAGATATAAATCAACTTGCTCTCTAATAAACTTCTTCCTGTCAGTCAAATCAATACCGAAATCCTGCTCCAGTCTCCGCAGCACGATTGCAGTGGTGGTGGTATTTAGGTCAGATTCATCTAAGAACTCCCAAAGGCGGGCGATTAGCTCCGAGTCCAACACCATTTCGGTTACAGAATGGGGCCTGTTATTACTTGACATCAGTTTTAACGTATTCAGTGAGTCGGGTGGTGGCGTAGAAGATTTTATGTATCTAGTCAAGTGCGGAAAACGAAGAGCAAGAGATAAATGAAAAAAAGGTTGGCTCACCCGCTACTCGTTTGGATTTTTGACGCCATACTGAGATTCGAAAAAGTAAATTTTAAAAAGAGTACCAAATAGAAAATTATTTTTAGAAAGAATTAATTTTTTATTGGTATATTTAAAATTTTTAAGAAATTATATTTTATTCTATTCACCCTTTTCTTAAAAATGAGATGAAAGAAAATTAAGTTTTGAAATATATACATATTTGTTATTAATATTCATTTATATAGAATTTATATTGAGATAATACATATTTGTTATTAATATGTTATTTTATAACATATTATTAACCCAATTTGCTTAGAAATAATAATTTGTTTATATTATTTATCATCCACAATTCTTCATTCGAGATCTTAGATGATAAAAATCAAACATATCAATACACCACAATCTTATATAAGTATATTATATGAAGACACTGGATTTCAACCATGGATATTATATAATATATTTTATTTATAAACTATATTATATAATAAATATATATTTTTATTAATTTGGGTTTTATTTTACATTTATAGGCCCAACAACAATGCCCTAAATACAAGCAAGTCTAGGTTGATCCAACAGAACCCTAAACCTCTCCTACCCCAACCGTCAAACGCCTCGACTGTTGGATCAATATGTGATCCAACGGTCCATAGTACGAGCCAAATAGGGTTTTCATTTTTTCCCTTGGAGCGCCGCGTACCCTTGACAAGTCCGAACCTCGCACGGCTGTTGGAGAGCCCTTGTTCCGGTGGCAACGTGCTCCGATTTTCTCGGCGTGTGGATTTCATGGAGATAACAAACAAACAACAACCAAGCATTAGTCTTTTACTAGGATTTAACTCCTAAAAATAGGGTTTGTTTCGCATTATAAATAAGTGTAATCCACACTTGTAACATATACGAATACACACAGAAAGATTACCCACAAAGATCTTACGAGATTACTAGCAAATAGAAAAACGATCGAAAGGCTTTGTATCTTTTTCGAAAAGCAGATAAATAAAGGTAGCATTTTTTACCTTTTGTGGCTCGTTCTTGGCTTGCATGCATGATTTCTTCGTTTATTTTTTTATCGATTCAAACCCCAAAATGAAAGTTTTAGCCAATGAACTTGGGAGATTTTTTTTTAACTTTTGTTCGTAGATCTACTCTCTCTGAGGCTCGATCTCGAAAAACTATTTTGATATTTAGAAACTGGAGGGGAAGGACTTTTAAAAAAATCAAAACTTTATATGTTTTGCCGTCGATGACCGACGGCCGGCGTCGATCAACGGTGGCGGCGAGGTGGCATAGGGTGGCCATTGGCCGTTTTCTGGACTTTAGTGGTGGCCATGTTCTTCAAATAAAGAACACGGTAGAACAGGCGAGAGGATTTGTGGGATATGTGTTTTATCCAAATGAAGGGTGTTTTTAATTATGAAAGGTGTTTCTGTTTTTTTTAGTTATATAGTGAGCCCGTAAGCCGACCCACGACCCGACCCATACACCTACAACCAGCGTGTTCTTGTTACAAAAGGGGTAAACCGCACTCTTGGTCCCTCCAACTTGAAAAGGCTTTTGGTTTGATCCCAAATATGAATCCAAACCCCAATTTTCTTCTGAATTTGGCCCCAATCTGGGTTTTTTTTCAAATTGACCCCATTATCATTATACGTATATTTTCATATTTTTATTTTATTATTTGTTTTTTACTATTTATTTTATTTTATTCTTTGTTTATTATTATTATATCTTATTTTGTATTATTTTATTTCATTATTATTATTATTGTCTTTTTTCCCTCTAATATTTAATTATATATACGTATCTATATATATATATATATATATATTCTCCAATTATTTATTTTATTTAAATATCATATTGTATTACTTTACATATATAGGTTTTGTCTTCTCTCTTTATTTATGTTATTAATATTAATATTAGTGTGTATATATATCTAGTTATTTTATTTTTATTTTTATTTTTTTGTTATTTTCGGTTCCTACTTATTATTATTATACATTACGTTTTATTATTATTTTTATTATTATTATATATATATATATATATATTATTAGTTTTACTCTATCTTTGATTATATATATATATATATATATTTGTTTGTTTTTCCTTTATTTATTGGTGCTTTCATTTTTTATTATTCATTTCACTTATATTTATTTATTCACTTTCCTCCGACTTTAACATTTTAACTTTATGCATATTTATTCCATTTATTTACTCACTGTTTATCTTGGTTTTTATTATTTATTTTTTATATTGCATTTTCTATGTGCATGTTCTCTTTAGATTCCTTATTTCATTTGTTTGTTTATTTACTTTTTGTTATTTTGCTCATTTATCTTTTTATTTTCCATTTTTTTTCATCCTTGTTGCCTTTATTTTATTCCTTTTACTCTATTCATTTTCTTTTTTAACGTCTTTGTGTTTTAAAGGGGTATTTCAATCTATCAGATGTAACATTTGGGTCGTTATTTTTACCTTTTAATTTGAAGTTACAATTTTCTTACTCTAAGACAACTGGAAATTACGTAGTACCGAAATGGCAGTTAAGGGTGCTAACATTTCCTTGACTGTAACCGACTCCCGAGTCCGACATATCACTGGTAAGACGCAGATCAGGTAAGAAATAAGGTATCCAGTCAACCCATATTTTATAAAATAAATTATCGGTGGCGACTCCTAATCCATTTTCCTAAGTCGAAGCCTAATTCCGGGTCCAACCGAAATGCGGTTCCGACAGCTTGGCGATTCCGCTGGGGACCCAGGTAAGTGAGTCAGGCTAAGGTTATTTCCAGTTGTCTTTTTAACGAAAATGGTAAGTTTAAATTTTAAGGTAACATTTCGATCTTTATTGCTTACTTTCGATTATATTTTTCGAGTAAATAGTTGTACTAACATTTTTCTCATGATTTCAGCCTTCAAAGCTTTTTCACTTAAGGCTCTAAACCCGAACTCTAAACCCTGTTTTAAGTAAGGGTAAAAGCGACGTCTTCGTGTGAATTTATTCACCGTGCAGGCCTAGCAAGTAGCCTTCGGGATTCATATATCTTATGCCTTCGTGTGAATTTATTCACCGTGCGGGCATAAGGGAATGTGTCCTCTCGAGTTTAACTCAGTCCACACAAGCCTGTGATGAGTTTAGGACTAAGGGTCTGGCAAGCCCAAGGGGGCACCGGCAAGGAGAACTCGGGTACCGTTTTTTAGAACCTAAACCAGGAGACCATGGAAAATTAGAGCTTACCCGAAACCACATTCCAAAACCTAGGATATTTTTACCCTAACCATTTTTTGTGGTTTTTTTCTTTCGCCATTTTTTATTTATTTATTTTTATTTTACTAACTTTTTTGTCTTTGTGTTTGTTTTCTAGCATTTGCATCATAATAAGAGGCTATTGATCCCCAAAAAGTATTTGTTATACACAAAATAATTTGAATTAATGGACAAAGGTGTTGTAATACAAGATATTGAAAACGCCGAGGCACGACTATGGTCCGAGAAGACTTAGAAAGAGAAGGGAGACAGTCTTCAGGGGAACTATGTGTCAGAGCTGGTTAACTACGCCTCTGTCAGCCTGAAACAGAACGATGTCCAATAACTGCGAAACATTTGGGACAGTTGGAAGAATGACATAAAGCAAAAGTTCAGCCAACGATATGGTGATATTGCCCTCTTATTCCATGTCAAGACTGATGGGCCCCTGCTCCGAGCATTAATTCAATTCTGGAACCTGGGATATAGTTGCTTTATGTTTAACCGGGAAGACATGGTGCCCACTATCGAAGAATATACTACACTACTGCACTGCGAAAGCATCAGACTAGAAAGGGCATATATCAAACACATCAAGAGTCGGCCTTTCAAGAACATATTGGCCAAGATTACAGGAGTTGATGAAAAATGGGTGACTGATCGACTCCGACGCAAAGGTAACAGAGAAAGAATCGATTGGATCCACATAAGGCAACTAATAAAGAACCACCCTGATGAATGAAAAACTATAGACCTTTTTGCACTGGGTCTGTACGATTTGGTTATCTTTATGAAGACTATAGGGTGCATCGACGCAGCCGTGGTGGAACTATTTGAACAACTTCCAAGGTGATTCAACCCAGAACCGACCATCTTAGCCGAGACCTTTCGGTCCCTTAATCATTGCAGAAGAACTGGCGGAGGAAGGTTCACTGAGTGTGTTCAGCTCCTTCAAGTCTGGATTCACATCCACTTCTAGAAGACTAACGGGGTTGCCTAACGCCCATTTAGCACCACCTATTCACCTTTGGGAGAATTCATCACTATGAAATGGAATGAAGGCGCTACAAAGGAAAAATAGATTAAGGTCTTCACTCATCTTCAAGATCGGGATATTACTTGGAGAGTCCCCTGGTTGTTCCTCAATGACGTTCTTTTTCGGTGTGGGGACTCTGATACTATGACCTTACTTGGACTTTGGGGTGCAGTTGGGTATGCTCCGTCATTGGCACTTAGACAATACGGGGCACGTCAGTTCGTCCCGGCTACATATGGATTATATGTATCAGAGTTTGTGTACCATGGTGATAATTATAAGAAGATGATCAAAGAGGTAGCTGATTCATGGAAGAAAGTGTTTCGAATAGATATTGTGACTGCTAGAGACATGCTTACTCCGGATTATGTGGAGTGTCGAAGATTGAGAAAAAAATGATAGCATCCCGGTACCAGACTATAAAGACACCCGGACCATGGAAGAACATCTCAGGCCTATCCCTTTTGAATTTGAGATAGCCAAGGCAGAGTTTGAAGCTGTGAATAACGAGCTGAAGCAGAGGGTTAAGGAACTTGAAGCTAAACATTATCAATGGAAGCTCGATGCTGACTCTCCGAAAGATAGAGCAGACAAACTGGAAAGAGAACAGAAAAGAGTCCGTTTTGAGCTCGAAGATTTGAGAACGGGGT